AAACTAGAAGCAGCAAATGCAAGAAACAGGAAGGGGGTAAAACAGATATTGGTTCTTGCAATTGTGTATGAGAGACAGAGTTGCCAATGTGCTCCTTCCATGGTTAGAGGAACCACACATGTGGGTGGAAGTGATGGCTCAGATGTTAAGAGCACTGGCTGTTCTTCCAGAGGCCCTGAGTTCAATTTCCAGTACCCACAAGGCAGCTCACAACTGTCTATAAATCCTGTTCCAGGGAATCTAATAGCCTTACACACACATACATGCAGGTTTTCAAAACACTAATGTGAATAAAATGCTAATACATTATTAATAAAAATACTTTTTAAAACACAAATACATGATTGCTGAGTATCTTGAGGTGGGGCTAATTCACTATCATTGTAGTAGGAAGGATACTGTTAAAATATATTGATGTAGAAAACATAATGCATAATATTAATTTAATCATAGCCTATATGAACATGTCATATAAATATACAGGATGCTGTGCTAGCTATTCTACTTCTAGAGATGTTGTGCAATATTTTTTAGAATTATGATAGTATAGTATGCATACCACACCATATACCATGTTATTTTAAATGGTATGTCATATACATATGTTGCGTATACCTTAATTAATACTTAGATTTTGTGAAATTTAGTGCACACACACATATACATACATGAAAAAGGAAAAAGATAAAGAGTGAAAGAGGCTGAAAACAACAATTACCAAAAGATAAATAGTGCTGAAGCAAAGATTATGCCATTATAATCTATCAATTAGCGCATATGGACTGAAAATATACAAATAATTCTGTCCTTTAAGTTGTTTTTGCCAGGTATTTGTTCACAGTTGTGCAAAAGTGTCCAACATGAGAGCTGAGTTACAATTGTCAGTGTAGGAAAATATTTGCTGTGTGTATTTATGTGTCAATTTTGACAAATGTATTTACATATCTAATAATCTCATTTTCTAGTCCAGAAGTAGTCAAGCTGGCAACCAATACTTATATGCCTGTATTCTTCCGCTGTCACCCAGTACAAAGCAATAATATATGTAACACTGTTTTGCTATGCTAGAATTGTACATTTAGGTATTAATTAGTACTATTTTACCCTGTGTGAGAAGATATCTTAGAAGGTTATGACTTAACATGACAAATATTTACCTGTGCATGACTCTGTAATATTGGCAGGAACTGGATTAAGATAGCTTGTGTATCTGACAATGAATCTACTAATAATGAGTGTTCATAAAGATGTTTATCATATGTCTTGCTTATGTGTCTAATAGCCTAATAAAGTGACTATGTAAGCAATTCAACTGAAACTGGGTAGATATTCTCTGTCTTTCTCATATATATATATATATATATATATATATATATATATATATATATATATATTTCTATCTCTCTCTGGCCTATGCTCCAAAAGGCATATTATAAGAAAGCACCCACTTTATGCACATGCTGATTGCTTTTCCATTTCTGTAATTTTTTTCAGTGACTCATTAAAGAAACTAAGTATATGTAATCTCATGATTATTTCCAGAATCTGTGATTTGGAAGAACATATGACAGTACAGACTCCAAGAAGCTTAGTAGATTGGATAACACAAAAGGGAATTTCTGACTTCAGCATCTCAAATATTTTCTTATTTTTTCAGTATTGTTTTCTTCAACCAACTTATTATTATTTTTTTGATTATTTTACATACCAATCACAGTTTCCCTTCCTTTCTCTCCTTACTAACCTGCCCCCAAATTATTTCTACCTACTATCCATCCACTGCTCATCAAGAGGAAGGAATCCCATGTGATTCAAGAAAGCATGGCGTGTCCATGAGGCAGGACCATGTATTAATTCTTTGGGAATTTCATATAGTATAGTTTGATGATATTAAGCATACTTCCCTTTAACTCTTACCCCATATACCTCTACTTTATATCTTTGTATTTTTATAATACTTTGTATTTTTATAATAATCTTGTTGAGTTCAGTCTGTGCTGCACAGATACTTCTGAGTGAGGGTAATTCACTAGAGCCATAGCTTTGAAGAAAATCGATTCTTCCTACCACAGAACCTAACAACTATCCATAGCTCTTCAGTTAGGGGTGAGGTTTACTGAACCCCTCCTCCTTTGTTCCTATGACGTTTACAATCTGATGCTGCACAAGCCTTTTGCAGACAACTCCAGCTGCCATGAAATCATGACTGCCCCAGGATTGCTACCTCACCTATTTATAAAAACATTATTAGGATATGTTTTTGTGTTTACAAAAATAGAAATATTACCCATGACCAATATTTGTTTATTATAACATAATATCACTTGTCAATTTAACACTTAATGTTCCAATGTAGTTAAACATATACATCTTATGTAAATGCCTTCAATTATTTCATAGCCACTTGTGTTTTTATTATTATTAATAGTAAAAGACAAGTATTGAGTGCTTACTGTGTGCCAGGTTATCATGGTAGGTGATTTATACATACCATAGATTTTGAGAAAAATGAAACCTGTAGAGTGGCATGACTTAATGAAGTCATAGTTGGCAGAGTGCAGAGGTTGGAGTTAAAATCCAAATCTTTGGATTACCAGACCACAACTTACTAAGGATTTGTTACCACATGTTTTGCCCCTTCTTTGAGATTATTTCTGAAACACTTTTAATGGCACCTGTATTCCACACATTAGCATCTTAATCCAAGGTTTTTGATATTATTAGGTTCCTGATTAACTTTCTAGTGTCTTCCATCCTACATACAAATGACACTTCCTTGAAGGTCTGCTCATGATCCCTGGCTCAGAAACGTATCTTATGAGGAATACTACTTGTTTTCAGTATCGCAACTGAGGCACCATCACATCCCTTGTGTTTTCTCAACAACTCCTAACTTACTGTCTTTTTAAAAACAAATCCCTTTTCTGGTTAATGTGAACACATATTCTCATTTACTCAAAATCATCCTTATGCGATCATTTTACATCAAATAGCTCATAATAGTCTATCTTCCATTCTCAAAGGAGGCCACAGTTAGGAGATGACAAATTAAATGGATATGTTAATCTCACACAACTGATAAGCCATTTTCTGAATGCTGAGTGTCTTTCAGCAATATTTTATCAGAATATTCATAAAATATATATGATGTTCTGCTACAATGAAAGACATGGCATATGTTTCATATCTCTCTCCAAGGTCTTTCATAATGCTCCTGCTAAAAATACTTGTGAAGTAAAAAAAATGATGAGAATATTCAAAAAATAAAACTCTGCCAGCATTCCTACAAAACTCATAAGAATGACCCATATACAACTGATAACTGATATTTGAAGCCTCCTAGGTCACCAAAAGCCAAGTCATCCATTGCCAAGTAAGGGTGAATTGAACTTTAACTTGATTGGATATTTGTCAATTTGCTTTTAGGAAAATTGGCGTCCTATGAATTGATCGTTGGTAAACTGGCAACACTTCCTAAGTTTGATTCACTTTTGCAGCTCCTCACTTTGACGTGTTTTGTTTTAGAAAGCAAGGAAATTAAAATGTATATTTCCTTACATTGTTTTGGTAAACTTAGCAAATCATACATTTAATTTTCTTCACTCTTTGCAGTTCACATAATCAGTTTTATCTTTGAAAAGGAAAGGATAAAATAAAAATATTTTTTTCTTAATCTCAAGCCATTTTAAAATTATCCAGGATTTAGGGAGAGCCTGAAAGGTGTGTATGTATTAAACCTTATTCCTGGTTCCCCTTCCTATTCAAAGAATCTTTTCATGTGTTAATTCAATAGAAAAGAGACCAGCATCACATCTGTCTCTCTAGTATGTGCTCCACACTGAGAATGTGATAAATGTATTTATTCATTTTAACCAAATTCTACCACAACAAAACAATTTAGAGACCCCATGGAGTCTATCATAATGGGATTTTACCTGTACTTTGATTGAATTAAAGTATCCCATATAGAAATCTTCTATTTAAACATCGTCTACAAAGACCTGAATCATGATGTTTTTCTCTGAAGGAGCACATTATTTACTGTAGTTTTGGATAGAGACTAATTAATCCACATTTTGGATGGTACCACTGCTGTTTTCTGACAATAAGCTCTCCATCCCGTCATTCAAACAATTCTTTCCATAGAAAACCCACAGGAAATTTTCTAAGCAGGAATCCACATGAGTTTCTAGGAAAAAAGCTCAGACTTTTCATTATGCCTCTCATGTTTACAGGAGGATTATTTTTTATATTACTGACTATCATTTATTTAGAATCAGAAATTTGTTTACACAATTTTATTCCATTCATTTACCTTTCTTCCCCAAATGTGTTTTAATAAAGATAGTAAATACAACATGATTACCTTATAAAGTCATAACATCAACTGAAGGAAGGTAGAATAATAAGCAATAATCACCAGAAAGCCATTTCATTTTGATTATTTCAACATTTGATGGAGCTTTTACATTAGGCAAAGCCAGGAGCTTCATTTCTTTCAAAGAGATAAAAACAAGGAACTGGGCCCATTTTCACTGAATATAATTACGCAATAGAGGCCTATGAGAAGTAGAAAGGAAATTTGTATTCCCATATACATTCTTTCTAAGCTTTTGGGACATCTTAGTGACCACATAACATTAACATCCAGTCTATTATGAAAGTCTAACAGCAGCTCAGTCTGAAGAGAAAATGATTGCACACATCTTGGTAATAACATCAGATTTCCATGTGACAAGACATTTGCTATTATATGTTATTTTTTTAATTGCAAAGCTGATGAGTTTAAGTCAACATATTTCTTTCTCTTGCTCCTTCTGCTTGTCAGCTGTAGCTGGATTGATAAAATGCAAATGAACAAATCATTAACGAGTGCTGGTTATGAATCTCTCAGGCAGTTCAGGACCCTATCAAATCCTGCACCTATTACTTTGTGTGATTGATGTACTATTGTAAGTGATTGTTCCTGATCTTATTAAATCTTATTGATTTTTTCCCAGTTTCTATTTTATGCAGGGCCAGGCTTGGACTGTTATGAATGTTGCTGAACACTGTTAATCAAGCTTACACAGCTATTTTGATGGCAAACAATTAGAACTCTGCAGCTCTACCTTGCAATTAGCTTCAGGGATACAGACCTCAGCACCATAATAATGAAAGAGACCCCTTTCAAGTACGGTAATGAGATTTACAATTATGACCCCAAATAACCTCTGAGAAATAACCAATCTGCAAACTTAGATGTGTTTATCAATAATTTTATCCCTTTCACAAAAATGAATTTGAGAGTTTTCAACTATATTCTCTCAAAAAAATCATTCTTCTTATCCTTGAAATATGTAACAAAGCACAAAAGCAGTATGACCATATGAATTTTCATTTATAAATGTTTTATTTGGTAGCTCAGTTACAGATGCACAAAATAGATTTGAAAACTATCATGTGATTACAGAAACAGGCAAGATTTCAAATCATGTGTGGAATTTATTGATGTAAACACGTGACACAAGGACTATGCCTTCATTGGTTGATTTGCTCACACAATAAAGCTTGTTAAGGAACTACTGTGAGAACAGTTTTGAAGTGTAATGGTTAAACTAAACAAAACTGACATCACATTAACTTCTCTTGAATGTACTACTTAATATAGAACATAATTAAGTATTGGTGGATTTTTCATATTTTACATGAGGAAACCACATAGGTAAAGCATTTTCTAAACTCTCCATATATTTCTAAAGTACAAATTCCTTATTTCTTTTGTAAAAATAATACTTTCATTATTCTTTGAAAATGCCATACATATATCTTGATCTTATCAATCTCTACTTCCCATTTTCATCATCCCCAAGCATGTCTCTCTGACAATTTTATGTCCTTTGAAAAATATGTGCCCCCCTGAATCCAATCAGTGCTGGACAACGTACATTAATGTTGCTCCATACACTTAGACATTGGCAGAGTTCTAGCATTTTTACCCTAAAAGAAAAGGGGATCTTCCTCTGACATTGGCTATCAACTGCTCTTCAGGTAGTAGTGTGACCATGGTAAGCATCTCCTCATCCATGCTGGAATTTTTAAATGGCTTGCTTATGTCTTTTGCAGTGAAACACAACTTCCGTGAGTTCATGTGTACATCACCCATTTCATGTCCAGTAGACAGCATTTGATAGCACTTTCCTCACCCTCTGCCCCTTACATTATTTATACCACTCTGTATGCTGTTTCCTGAGCACTGTAGCCAGGAAAGGGTTAAGATAGTCATTCTAATTTACAGTCACTGATTCTCAGTACTTGGAACAGCTAGGAGGCTCTACATTGGTCACTTTCCACTGAAAAGAAGCTTTTTTTGGTCAAGATTGAGTAATGAAAATCTACAAAGCTTTGGATATAAAAACAAATGTAGGATAGTGTGGCATGAGTATTTAGCAAACAGCAGAAGTTTTTCCCCAGTGCTTATCACCTAGCCTAGCAATGCCTTTTAAACGGATTTAACAGTAGCAAATGTTAACTTCTTTCCTGTGTAGTGGGGGGAGAGGGGGCACAAATTCAATCAGAAAGTGAGTGGTTACTCCCAGAAATGTCATGTCACCATTGCCTCTGTGGTTGTATCTTGCCTAACTGGTCAGTCTTATAGCATGCAAGTCTAGCACTGAGTAAGACAACTTATGTATTTTCTGCCTCAGTTTTCTCTACAGAATCTTCCGGCATTTTGAAATCTATTTCCTGGCAAGTTCATGGTTTACCTCTCTATTTTTACCACCCCCTGTGTGCATTGGCTTTAACAGTAAGTCTTATCTAATGCTGTTTGGTATGCCTTTAAGGTCTTCGTGAACAAATACTCTAAGAGAGATGTCAGTGTTGAGATTTTCATTTGACATCCTATATCATCTGGGCAGAACATTGTCTTCTGCTGAAACTTCCTTTTAAAAATTATATATTAATTAAGCAGGGCCTGGTGTTTCACTACTTTATTCCAGCACTTGGAGGCAGAGGCAGGCAGATATCTCTGAATTCAAGGGCAGATTGGTCTACATAGAAAACTCTAGTACAGCCTAAGCTATACAGTGAGATTATGTCACAAATGAGCAAATAAATATTAATTAGCTTATAAATTAGTATGTTTTCGTAGGGTTTTCTCATACATTCTTAGATTTCATTAATTCACCCCAACTTCTATCTCCCCCACTCACTTGACTCTATATCCCAGTATATCCATTCCTATTATAATTTTATTTGTTTGCAAGATTACAGATTTCCCCATAAGTTTTTCTTGTACACTTCATTTTGCTAATCCTTCCTACCCATCATCTACCCCTCAACCTTCATGAACCTTCTTGCCCCCAGTATTCAGCCTGTATAATATTATTTTACCTATAGTTTTCTATCTTCCCTCCTTTACCTACTCTCCCACAAATTGCCTTTTTTAGTTTCCTGCTCACCGCAACTTCTCCAGAAGAAACACAGAAAAATGATTAAAGCTAGTGCTCATGTATGAGAGAAAATATGAGACATTTGTCTTTCTGAGCCTGACTAGCCTCAGTCAATGTAATCTTTTCCATTTCCATCCATTTGCCTCCAAATTTCAGAATTTCAATTTTTTTGCCTTTGCATAAAATTCCGTTGTGTAAAAACACACACATGCATACACACACACACACACACACACACACACACACTCATTTGATGCACATTACCTAGGTGATCATTAGTTTTTTTGTTTTTGTTTTTTTGATACATTATTTCTCTGTATTGCTTTGGAGTCTGTCCTGGTAGTTGCTCTGTAAACCAGGCTGGCCTGGAACTCACAGAGATTATCCTGTCTCTGCCTCTCAAGTGCTGAGATTAAAGGTGTTTTTCGCCAACACCCGACTGATATTTATTATTATTTAATGTTACTAATTTGAGGAATAATGTTATACAGTAATATATGGATAACTGTAGGATATAGGTTAATTCACATAAAGAGCTTAGGAAATAGCCAGATAGTGTTAACTGCTGATTGTACTGCTGAGACTGGGTACCACTGTCAAATTTTTTAAGGTTAAAAATAGTATAGTTTACCGAATTATTATGTTTATAATTTGCTATTCTAAATTATTAGATGATTTTGAACATATATGTATTGTGTATTTTTGCATAACTTGTTTTGATATATGTTTATGTATTCACATGTCTATGCTGTGCATTTAGTGTATGCCTTTTAAGTTAGGATTCTTTGGCTTTATTGTCACAACTATTGCACATAGGCCATAAAAATGTGGTTATTGTATGATGCATAAATTGATGCTAGATAGAATGACACACTTTGATGCATCAGGCTTGCTTTAGGGAAACTTTGTAAAATGCAGAACTGGTATTGCTGGAATCCATTTGTAGTGACTGTGAATTGGGTCAAAGCAAATTAAATAGACAGAGTTATCTGGTATTATTTGAATCAGCTGAGAAAACAGAAAAGGCATATACAGCCTTTGTTTCTATAGTTAGCATTATCTTTAATTTAATATTAGAGAATATAGATAATTAAAGTCAATTTATATTATAGAATGATTTCAAACACTAGTACATGATAAACCATGTGCTATTCATCTGGAATTATTATATCAGATAGGAACAAATTTGAAATTCCTAAGTATGTATGCTTGAAATGATATCAAATGTTGAGTTTATGTGTTTATGTGTCTTTTCTATCACATCCATTAGTTTGAATATTACATTCTTGTACACATTAAAGGTACAGACATTTATTTTAAAACCTGGAGGCAAGTTTCTGATCTAAAAAGCATACTGATTTGGTATAATGACAGATCTATGCTCAATTGCAGATCAGCCACTTGATGAATTTTTCCTTTAAGCAAATGATAAAAATTTCCTTAACCTTGTTTTTTTATTGTTTAAAATATAGATAATGACATTTGCCTCATAGAATGATTTTTGCTATTAAATCAGATCTCAAAGTATCTACAATGAAATTAGCTTTGGTCCCTATTTTTAAATATGTTCATATAAATATTTTATCAAAAAAACTAACCAACAATCAAAAACAAAAGTCAATTAATTGCAAACTACCTACAAAATATCTCATGTGAAAATTAAAAGCTTACTTCCAACTAACTGTATTTCACTTTTGAGAAATGACAAACCTTTAATGAGATAATATTAATTTTATCAAGAATAACAGCCAAGCTGTAAATGGACTGTAAAGTATTTCATTTGTGCATTGTGTTTCTTAAGTCTCAGAACAGTCAATTTATCCACAGAAAATGTACAAAAGAAATCATTTAAATAATCCCTGGGGAGGCAGGAAGTCATTTGTAATTTTACTCCTTAGGATTCAATAGTCTAATTTCCAAAGCTTATAAATATTAACGGTCAGAAGATTCTGTCCTGTTCCCCTTCTCTGGGTTATCATGGTTATATCTCTTAGAGTTCTCCCTATTTCCCAGACTTTCTGACTGGGGATTGTAGGCTGGCATGCCCCTGTTTCAGGCCTAAAATCCATATGTGAGTGAGTACATGTCATGTTTGCCTTTTTATGACTAGTTACCTCACTCAGTAGGGTTTCTTCTAGTGTCATCCATTTGCCATCAAATTTCAAGATTCCCCTCTATCTTGTTCTTATAATATCCATTTCTCCTTGCTTCTTAATATTCCTTAGTGCCAATTCATTTAAATGAAGCTGACTTTGGAGTTGGATTGGCTCTCCTACTCCAAATCCAAGCATGCTGTTAAAATATTTAAAAATTTCTGTATTATATCAAAAGGCCATTTATATAAGACAAAAGAAAACAGAACTTAGGGACTGTCATCTGTTTATACTCTGTTCTTTAAAAAAATAAATATTAACTGTCATTTAACCATCATCCAAATTAGGCTTCATAATAGTTTGAATACTAACTGAATAATGTAAGTTGAATGATACCAAAAATTAGTTTTGATTACAGCAAATAAGGAACAACAATATCAACAAAAACAAATTGACAAAAAGTAGTGCATCTGTTATGTGAACTTGTATTAGCATAAAAATAGGATCCAAAATGTAACACAAATTATGGATTCTTTCTCTTGACTTGCCACTGACACCAGTTTTCTTGCATTACTCTCCCTCCTTGTGAGTCCCTGGAAAAAGTATGGGGACTAAAGAAAAAGTACCTGTATTCTGCTCACAGAATGGGGCTGTTGACTCTGAAGGAGGACATCCTCAGGTACTGCAGAGCACTAATTCATGGTAGCTCATTTCCAATATACAGGAAACTGAATAGTCTTACTGTGCTAATGTGTTAATATTCCATTCATGTGACACTTCCACACCATTTGTTCTCTGAAGCCTTTAGTGATTGTAAAGTATCCAAAGCTGCCAGTAGACTGTTACTTCCCACACACATGAGCTTAATAACCAGAGTCAGAGGAAATGGAACCAAAGCAGATAGTCCATCTAAGAGAAGTCCTCCAAGTTCCTTTCATTCCAGATACCCAGCTCACTTCTGAACCCTTTTATTCGGTGCCATCATAGGAGGTGAGCCTTGTCACATACAGAGTCAAGCCCTTCCTCCATGTGCTTATATCCCAAGAACCTTACATTTGCAGTATTATCTGTTGCATAGTTTAATTATCTTATCGCAGTGTCCTTACTGAGCATGTATGACTTCCAATATATTCCATTCTAAAATTCCTCTTGTCTAACTTTATTTTTTCTTTAATTCATACTTTGTTTTAAAAAAACTTGTCTACATTACCTACTTCTAAACCTTAGTTCACTTATCTCCTGTTCAAAGACATTTCAATTTTTTTCCATAAAAGCTGGTCTTGTCAGTCACACAGGAACTCCTGTGCTGAAATTTAAGCTACTTTGCTACATGCAGCTTTGTCTCATTCTCACCACGTTCTAATACAAGGGACTTGAGTTTGGAAATGATCTGTGAAGGTTTAAACACAGTCCTATCTTCTTACTTTCCTATAATACACTGTTTTGTTTCATTGTTTGTTTCCTAGCTTCTCTGTCTTCCATCCTCTTCTTAGAATGTCTTTTGGGCACTGGAGTTTCATAGTAGGAGATTCTTATTTTTTTCTGTCTTCATAAATAATATTTTCATAATAATTTAAGTGTACAGCCCTCATCCCTTGACAAGTGCTACTCCTGCCATTTTGTCCAGGAGTACTGAACTGAGTGAAAAGTGAGTGTGTATTATGCTGAGTGTTCTGCCATGATATCTATGACAGCCACTTATTTTAAGACATTGCCCTATTCTTTTAAACTTGACTTCAAATTTGTCTCATTCCTGAGTTGACAATTGTTTTCCACTTGCTTCTAATTTTTATGAGTTATTTCGTGGCTCCCAATGATCATAACATATATACAATGTACATTGTTTTGGCTTTGGAGCTTTGATTATCTGCTGGTATAAGAGGGATAGAACACAGCAACTCATAACATTTGTAGATATGCTTAAGTATTATTAGTAAAGTTCAAAGGTAAATTTTACAAAGTTATTAGATTTGTTTGAAAATCAATCTGATATGATGTCAAGGGAAGCAAACTGAGTACCCGCTATTTTTTAAATCCAAGATTAAATGTGTCTCCTTAATTTGCTGGCATTCTAATTGAGTATTTCAGGAAGGGGAGCTTAAAATTTGCATAGTCTAACAAAATTCTTCTCAATCCTTCTACCAAAAAACTATTTTTTCAGCTCATAAGCTCACATTGTCTATTGAGTTTATTGAGATTAAATATAGCTATCTTTGAAGTTTTTCTATGATGTACCCAGCTTTTGCATCCAATGCAAAAAC